GTTTTTCCAGAACCCATTAATTTCCATAAGTCAAAACCAATTTCATGACGAACGACATTAATAACCGGTCACCTTTTGGCCATGCAATAAAAATTAGGGACCCCTCAGGGGGTTATGAAATGAATCGCATTCTAAGTGAATCCAATTTTTCGGTCCTAAGGTCGTCAAAATCGATTATACGTTCACCTTGGGGTGACCCGTACGCTCTCATTCGATTCCTCTAATCGTCTAAATTTAGAAATTCGTTCTGGTAATTATCCTTCAATTAATTTTCAAGTAATGTCGTCCTCGGGGAAGCCCACACTATCAATTAATTGATTTACCAACGAATTAGAAATGGAGGCCTTAGGAATTTACAAGGCAACAATTATTCCCATGCATAAATAAACAAATAAATAATTAATATCATAAATAAATATCCACTATTATGGCCAATTAAATATTTATTCTCCTTGGATTAGGATTTCTGTCCTAAACCAACTGGAACTTCTACTGCAGTAGAATCCCGGTTGACTTGTACTGCAAGTTCCACAAAACCTCCACCAGTAGAAGCTGCGGCCGCGCCGACCAGTCTTGGCTCCCGGCTCCAGTTTCTTCCTTGCTTTGTCGTGTCTCTTTGGATCTTTGTGAAGGCCCGGTCTCCAACGGTCGATCACAATACGAAAAATATAATTTACAAAATTACATAAATCGATTCCTAGATCCAACGAGTGGATGTACATGCCTTCTACTAATTAATTAAACTATCCGGTCAACCCTCGGGTAATTAATACAAGCATTCATCCATAATTCCTCGACAATCCCGAGGCTTTAAAACAAATTTAAAACCAAACAACCAACCATCAATTAAGCACAAGCACATAAAAGGGTGGCCATAATAGTGGATTAACTACTTCCTGCAAAACCGAGTTATGCATATAACCCAATATATGTGGATGCGCTTGAGCACATATAGACAATATAAGCAGTTTTATCCAGATCTTGTGCATAACAGATTAACCTCAAGCTCTGATACCAATTGTTGGAACTCATGAGGATCTCGATATGCACAAATCACGGACAAACATTCAGCATAAACCTATGCGCAGCGGATCTAAACGTTTGATGAAGAAAACGTACTGCTTAAAATTTATGTAGATCTGGCTGGCCCGAACAGTTGACCGCAAATCAAATCTTCTCGGAATCGAAAAAACTTGACCAATCCAGAAAGCTGACGTCACAGAGAAGTTAATTCGATTACTGACAATCAAGAATTAATTGATTTATTATTAATTCACCGAAGCTAGCGCTCGTTCATCACATTATTACTATGTTGGAATTTAATCCACCTGCAAGGTTTAGCATAATAATCCTTCATGAACTCACTCCGGGGACATCATCAAACTAACGCACATGGTGACTGTAAATATCCTAACAACACAACCTACATGTAGCAATATTACCCAAGACAGCGGGTCTATTGGCCCAGTTCACTAAGCCTCACCCATGTGAATCAAAGTAATAAATACTACACATATATGTCTGTTTAATATCTTACGGGTTAAGATTACGCAGTAACTAACCGAGGCCTAGTTCGTTTACGATGATCAGTATAAAACGAACTGCTCCTCTCGAGGATCCTGTTCAATACATAAATGTACTAGTGCAACTAATCAGTCAAGACAAACTGTACAGTTGACACTACAACCGTTCACGATGGGGTGTTCATGTCCATCTGGGTTGTGAACCACTTATTCTTGTTTCGCAAGTAACTGATAGCATGATCTTCGGTTCGCCCGATGACGAACCACACTATCTAATGCAAACCAACAGAACGTAGAACTTGTTTAATCTAACATGTTTCTCATTCATAAAGGGTAAATGTGTAATATCATCCAAAGCCAAGCTTTCAGTATATAACATTAACAAGAGGAACTTGTTCTTCCAACAATTAAACTTCTTCTTCACAGCAGATAAAACAAATTTAAATACCTCCTTTTTGGATTTCCCTATGTAATATCCCATCAGTTTCAGTATAAGTTATATTTTTAGTTCCAATATTAATTTTTAGAATTAATTATTTTCAGTCTTTTCAGTTGAAATTACCGAAAATTATTTTCGACGTACCGTTTACGTTCGGAATAATTTTGGTAATTAGGCATTATGTTTAATTAATAATTAAACATAATGAGATGATTAATTAATAAGTTAATCAAGATTAAGGCACTAATGCCGTGCAAAGTTTCTCAATTTATTCCAAAATGCCGTAAGGTATTGTTTGGAATTAGTGGAGCTTTGGTCATCATTTTTCTTCATGATTAAGTGTTGGTATTTTTTTTACAAAAATTCTCCTTCCATATGGCCGTACCATTAGTGGGATATAAATGTGATTATCTCAATTTTTCTTCATGATAAAGGACCTTAAATGTGGCATTAGGAGAATTAAAAGGGAAGCTTAGTCATCTTTAAGATGTTTAGTTAACTTCCAAGTGTGAAGATTATAATAAGCCACATATGGTCATCATCATCACCTCTCAC